ATATGTATGTAGGCGATTGATAATTTGCCCGTTTGCAGTCACCCTATTGTCTAAGAAACAGGATTCAGTTGGAACTTCATTCGCTCTTGTTATTGAACAATTGACATGACTTAAAATGTATTAATGTGAGCAGAATTCAAGAATATTGTAAGGAGGCTATATAATGCCAAAGCTGGCTAAATACAATGTATATTCTCACAAAGTATTTATGATCTTATAACACTCGCGTGACAACCTGTTAACAACTTCTCCCGACGCTCTCATCGCAAGTTTTCAATTATTCGATATTTATTAGTGAAGTTAGTTCCTGTTAGTATTTTACAGTGTGTAATACTATATAGCGTACGGTCAATAAACGGTGATATCTTCAACAGGTGAGTAACAAAAATAGATACGACTTTTATGTGTAATAATGATGTCACTCGCCCAAAACATTGCTCGCGTAACAAAACATCCTTGTATTGCATGATGACGTCACACATGTTGACGTCCAGTTTTCATCCCGCCACGATTGCCATTGTAAAATACAAGGAGAGGCTGTGACATGGGACATTGTGAAGAATGTTTAATCTTAGGTATTCCACTAGTAGAGGGGATATACAAAAATATAAAAAATAAATCTCCAAAGAGCAATAAATGTCTTTAAAATAGCAAGTAGTGAGAAACAATCACCAAATAGAATCGCTATCCACATTTTGTTCAGAAGAACAAATACTCAGTTTGCTATGGCCTAAAGAGATAGTTTACAAAACGGACCAAGTATACAACTGCTTCAATGATTTTATACCTTCTCATATATCAGAGCTATCATCTCGTATGTGGGCGTGCTAATGGCGGCTGCATGATCGTGTCATAAGCAGTCCATGGATGGAAATTACTCAAGATCATCCTCTAGCACGGTCTAGCGATATTATAGAAATACAATCAAAATGTATGAGTATCCCACTGGTTGGTTGTCTTCTTTCAAGACAAAATCTACCAACACTTCTTGTAATGTTGTGAGAACTGGTGTTATAACGTTCCTGGTAAGTCGACAAGATTCGAACTCTGAAGTCTTTAACTACTTAGAGGTGACTACCTAAGGCCAGATTATGACGGACTATTTTCCTAATCGTAATTCATTGATAAGTTCTCGTGTTACTGTCGAATCAACCATCTTTGAAGAAACGTTTTGCTTTTAGAGTGTGTAATATATATATGTCCTTGACCTTATTTACTTTCACCACCATCGCCATGATATCTATGTGATGGGTGACACCATATATGAACTGTACGCCGGATGACAAGCATGCTGGCCATGATCATGCTTGTCGTAACGGGATCGGGTGGTCAGACTCGCTAACACGTCAACGAATCCCAAAGGTGTAAATCGATGTTCATGACGTCAGTCACTGGATTATCTGATCCAGACTAATTGTTTTATAGATCGCCGTCATACATTGGAATACTGAAGTATGCGGCGACATTAAAAGTGCAACAATAAACAAACTAACGTCGAGTGACCCTTCGCTGAACGATATAGAGTAGGATTCTCTCGAACAAACTGATGCCACCCACACCATAACCGATAAACCGCTAAATCTATCCAGCTTTGGCTGGACGGGGTCTTTTTGGACGTCGCCGCGACCACGCCCATCATGGAGGTGCAAATGGACACGGGCTCATCTGAAACCATGACACGTAACCATCGTCGACTATCCCGCCTTCGACGCTGTGGACATCACTGACGCCTGTTAGCAACGTGTAACTAGCGACACAGTACGTGGCGTTCAACCATGGAAATGAAAGTCATGTGGTATATTTCTGATTTTTTTTTCCATTTAATTTGAATCGCCGTTTATACCTGGTTTCAGATCAATCGATTCAGTATTCTTCCCGTTGTTCTTAGACGGTCTCAACGGCGTCTATCGTCTGCAATTCGGGTTTGTTCGTACACCTGTTCCATGGTCTGCTAAACACTGAACGTGATGACCACGCTTGCCTCTACTTGCTTACATCATGCAAAAAAACCCACCCCAAAACATGATGACTCTCCACATGTTGCAGACGCCGCATGACTAATATAATCAAGTAAATCACAGCTACATGATATGCGGAATGAAGAAGTCGACAGATATAATGGTCCACAGAGACTAACTAACCTTCCTTGAAATTGCCAAAATCTGTCATGACACCCTACGCAAGTTTGTAGCACTACTGTAGGTGGCAACTTGTCCTAGGAAACTTATCTTCGTTCTAATAATTTGCATTCAATGATATTTCATGATCCCTGCTTTATATGCTAGGCATATTTTGTATCGACATCTGTACAGCTACAGACCTATAGAATGCTGCTAAATATAAGTACGAACACTATATGAGAGATTGAATTTAGTAATACGCCGTTTTTAGCAATATTCCGGCAATACCACGGCGGGGGACACCAGAAATGGGCTTCACACATTGTGCGCATGTGGGGAATCGAACCGGTCTTCGGCGTGACGAGCGAAAGCCTTAACCACTAGGCTAGGCTACCCCATGGCCCCCGAACAATATATGTATGTAGGCGATTGATAATTTGCCCGTTTGGAGTCACCCCATTGTCTAAGAAACAGGATTCAGTTGGAACTTCATTCGCTCTTGTTATTGAACAACTGACATGACTTAAAATGTATATTTATGTGAGCAGAATTCAAGAATATCGTAAAGAGGCTATATAATGCCAAAGCTGGCTAAATACAATGTATATTCTCACAAAGCATTTATGATCTTATAACACTCGCGTGACAACCTCTGTTGACAACTTCTCCCTGCGCTCTCATCTCAAGTTTTCAATTATTCGATATTTATTAGTGAAGTTAGTTCCTGTTAGTATTTTACAGTGTGTAATACTATATAGCGTACGGTCAATAAACGGTGATATCTTCAACCTGCGAGTAACAAAAATAGATACGACTTTTATGTGTAATAATGATGTCACTCGCCCAAAACATTGCTCGCGTAACAAAATATCCTTGTATTGCATAATTACGTCACAAAAGTAATGACGTCACACAAGTGTTGACGTCCAGTTTTCATCCCGCAACGATTGACATTGTAAAATACAAGGCGAGGCTGTGACATGGGACATTGTGAAGAATGTTTAATCTTAGGTATTCCACTAGTAGAGGGGATAAATAAAAAATATATACAAAATAAATCTCCAAAGAGCAATAAATGTCTTTGAAAAAGCAAGTAGTGAGAAACAATCACCAAATAGAATCGCTATCCACCTTTTTTTCAGAAGAACAAATACTCAGTTTGCTATGGCCTAAAGAGATAGTTTACAAAACGGACCAAGTATACAACTGCTTCAATGATTTTATACCAACTCATATATCAGAGCTATCATCTCGTATGTGGGCGTGCTAATGGCGGCTGCATGATCGTGTCATAAGCAGTCCATGGGTGGAAATTACTCAAGATCATCCTCTAGCACGGTCTGGCGATATTATAGAAATACAATCAAAATGTATGAATTTCTACTATTTACAAACCACGTCCGGGCTAGCGCTGCTTTTGATCCCTACTTTGTACCACGCGACTACACTCTCTACAGCAGACAATCATTCACACATAATGTGTTTAAGCAGCTGTGTCTCACACACCACACAAACAACCAGTGATTTGCCTTACTGTAATTAACAACCTGTTCATCAAATGAAATATTGCACCAGTCATTGTACATGTCAAGCTGAGCTCATAACACCACACTGATTAATTTCCAAGTTGATCACATGTAATTCTAACGTGGAGATAATGTGCACCATTCATCGGTCTCGAGATCGATTGGCCAGTTGTAAACATATCGAACGGATTCTTGTCTTTTTCTCACTGCCAGTGTGATATATATCACTGCACTGCTGGTTAAGACAGTTGAGCTACTAATTACACCCTGTAGCGTATACATACATTACAAAGACGCCTTCACAAGTAGTAATCAAAAGAAATTTTGAGTATAGGAAATGCAATGTATTTTCCGGGTGATTATCCCAACACATAAGTGGTTAACAAGATGTTTCTCAAACTCATACCTGTAATTGTTCCAAATGTGAATATTTCGTGACAACTTTCATCACGCTCTCTCGTATCTCGGATGAATCACATGGCGCGTTGGAATGAGCCATTCTGTACAGCGATCCCCTCCAACTGGACTAGCTAATCCGACACGGTCTGTTTTTAAATCGTGGGCCACACATCCAATTTAAATGTCCTCATGAGTCGACTCCCTATCGCGACGTCATTGTCGAGTACGTCCTCGTGGTAGCCGTCACATAGACGAGTGTCTGCGTTTGTGACAGATTTAAGACTCCATTTACCGCAGTTTCGTTGTTGCTTTATGAGAGGAGTTAAAATGGGTAAACAAAGCGGGGTGACCCAGTTTAGGGCGCAGATTGGGTAAGGGAGGTAACTCGTCAAATCCTGTAGTTTACAACGATCGTGATATGTTTACGCGTTCGATCCACATACAACATACTAAGTAACATTAAAAGGAATTTTTCCTTATGAACTCTCAGATAATTTTCTACTTACGAAGACGTGTTTAAGTTGACACCGGTAAGCAAGTTCATCTGTATTTGAACTCAAAGCTCTGTATCAACAATTTTCGTGATTGTCTGGGGGGTCGTTTGTTATGTTAGGTAGGATTGGTTGGGGTGTTAGCACTTTTTCAATTTATAACACAGAAGATCCGAACCCCTTCCCAATCGTTGCTCAGTGGCTAGCATATGAAGAAGGGTTGCACTGATCACCACATTTTTCAGCCACATCACAGGTTCAACTGCTCCTAGCACAACTAATGGACACAACTTTGCAAAGCGTGCTGCGACAACTTGATCGAATGGACAATCCGTGGTTTGAGGGGAGCGCCATGTCAAAACATTTGAATTAGTTACACATTTCTGTTTCACGATTTTTCCAAACACATATTTCAACAGACCCATGGACTGAAAGCAGTAACAAGGGAACAAGGACAAGAACAACACGTGCAGTTTTACGAATGATTGTTCTTTATCAGTGGCATAGCAGAATGAACAGCCAGTCTTTACACAATGTCATGAAAAAAGACCACCAGTGACTACAAATACTGTCAGCATGTATTCATAGTTACCCGGCTAGCGTCTTGGTAATATGGGATGGTATGGTCTGTTATTCATATTTCGTACCTGAGATATTTAACCAATCAAAAGTCTTCTCATTATCTAAAGGGTAATAAATTAGAAATCCCTGAGATTATTGTTCTAGCATCCTGAAGGGTAATCTGTATACCATTCGTCTAGGAGACCATTCAGGCCAACATGAGCGCTATAAGCATGAGGGTCCCGATACTGTGTATCCTGCCATAGGCCTTCAGCAGCCTCACCCCAGCACCCAGGGCGTCAAGCTCTGCCTGGGGGGTAGTGTCGAACTCCGTCACGTGAGCTGCACCTATCAACCTGGGATGAAAACATACTTTTATGAATTAATATGTAAGAAGCAAATACAGGGTTATTGTCCCTGCATCTATACTGTGTTTTCCAACCACCTCATATAACTCGAATATTGCTGTGCGGCGTTAAACAACAAGCAAACACACATACCTTCTGACAATTTCGCAGCCAGCAAATCCTGCCACCTCTGACACGAAGTTAGCCTGGTAGGTCTCCTTGTCCACATCAAAGCTTGTCATATGTTCCAAATACTCAGTAACTGCATGGGCAAGGCAGATTATAGGTTAGGTGACAATATCAGTTTGTTATGGCATTCTAGGGGCGGTGGGGTAGCCTAGTGGTTAAAGCGTCCGCTCGTCACGACGAAGGCCCGGGTTCGATTCCCCCACATGGGTACAATATGTGAAGCCCATTTCTGGTGTCCTCCGCCGTGATATTGCTGGAATATTGCAAAAGAGCGGCGTAAAACCATACTCACTCACTATTATGGCATTCTAACCAGCTACAGCATCATTTCTTAGCAACTAAATAGGCTTCATGTTTGAAAGGTAATACATATGTATTCTCTATTGTCATGCTACAGTAAGTGGCAGAGCGTGTCCAGCTGCCCCATACAATGGCTAGCATTACCTGCTGGATAAATTACATCGTAAAATATAGGTGATACACAAGTTAGTTTTGAATTGCCTCAATTAAGAATCTGTCACATGACCAGTGTTTAAAGCAAATTAGTAAACTGAGTGTTTCATTCCACAGCTTCATCCGAGTGATCCACACAGATAGGACCTTGAACTGACAGGAAAGAGTATGAATTTGTCAGTATAGGAGACACTGACGCACGACGATAATTAATATTCCTGCCTATAATAAACGATTTTACCAGGCATACCAGTGACGAAAGTAGTGACTGGTCCACGCTGTTAGGAACAAAAAAAAGAATGACACCAAAACTGTTTTCCATGGATTTGTATTGTTGAAACCATCACCTGTTTTGTTGCAGATCTCAACCACCCTGTAAGCAAAGACCCTGTGGTTGTCGTTGTCCTCAGGCTGCAGGAGGTGGCAGTAGTAGACGAAGATGTAGTTAGCAACAAGGAGACCAATGTCAAAGGCGCAAGGGCCCACGTAGCAGAACTCACTGTCGAACACCTTACAAACCGAAAGTAGGTTACAGGTAACTATATATCTATACTTTCCTGGACATATAATTATCAAGTTCGGTCAGATGGTCGCTTGAATAATACACATATTAAATATAGTGAGTGACTGTTGTTTATCGCCGCATGCAGTCTGAACCAGCCAACCCAGTGCCCGCTAGTATTATGGGATGCCAGCCACGGTGTACGGCCAAGATCAAACAAGGCATTGTGCCTGACAAGAAAACAAGGCATTGTGCCTGACGATAAAATAGTTTACTGGTGACCATTTCTAACCAAGGGGAGAGTAATATGAAATGGACACTATTGCAAAAGGCAATATTTGAGAGTATAAATAATATTACAAAACCCCAAAATAAACCCACCTGAACAAATGGCCCGTCATTGTTCGGTGTTTATCAAAATGGATATTTCTTGCAAGGCGCGCTTTGCAATGTTTGTTAATACTGTATAAGTAAGTTATATTCATTAGCATCGGAATTGCAGTTATCTTCGTTAATGAATTATCAATCTAATTCAAAGGGCGAGGGTTATTAAGATTGAAGCGTTGGCGATCCCATTATTGGGTGTTCCCCTCGAAACAAACATTCATACTAAGATATTGTGGGAACCCTGCTAAAAGTGCAATACAATGTATTAAACAAACTTTATGGATAACGACTTTTTTTATTTCGTGAGTGCGAAGTTTCCATACAGAGTCTTGTACCGTTGTCAATCGAAATCGCACTCACGAAATAAACGAAGTTGTTATCCAGAAAGTTTGTTCAATATTGTACGCCCCAACTTCTAAAATGACACTCAAAGGTGTTATGCTAAAAGTGATGTAAAAGTCGATTGTCTCACCTTGGCGTCTTTGTCTTTGACCATGATGGAGCCAGTGTGGAGATCACCGTGTACCAAAGCTTCCTTCTTCTCCAGGAAGATCTTCTTCATGTGGGCGGCTGCCCGGAGCACCTCCTGGTCCCCGTGTACCCAATCCAGCTTCGCCTTCAAGAACGGGGAGCACCTGTTGGTCGGGTCATCTGGCGAGAAAGGTCCCGTAAATATATACCTCTCGGTCAGCTCTACCATTTCGTGGTTCCTGAAACCAGTTCATGTCAATCTGTATTTCTTTTGAAGACGTATAGGGTCAAACCTTGCTCTATTTTCCGTTCTTTAGTATAGGGAGAATGAGAGGAAGTGAGCAACACACAACCATCAGTGAGATGGAGGGAGTTGAGTGAAGGTGTTCCTCTTTTGGGTATGAACACTCCAACCACTTGACAACCCTAACGCCCCAAGAACAGCAATGTTATCCCATTGAAATAAACTACACAAACACACATATATAGCAAAAGTGGTCCCCATAGGACCAGACCTACTGAAACTCCTTATCCAGCTGCTTAATGGCGTCCTCCCCTATCTTGGCGACGTGGGTGTCTCTGTGTATGATGGCCACGTCTCTCGCCAGTTTGAGGGCAGCGTCGTCGTTGAGATGGCCGCTGATGAGGGAGCTGCGGTAGATGACGTAGTTGCGGAGGTCCTCCATACACACTGGTGTCATTCATATTAAACTGTTTCAGTGTGTTCAATATAACATATACTGTCCATAGCATTTACCTTACACGAGTTACTCAATGTCTTCGACTTACACCCTGAAACACCGTTGTGAGGAGGTTGAAGGTACATCAGTAAACACTTACAACTATCCTTGATTACGAATAAAGAAAGAATGCGAAGCGACCAAGCTTTACTTCCAGACAAGGTGTTTGACTGTATGCATCAACACGTTTCGAGTCTGGACTAGCTATTCCCGTGATCAACATGTGTCAACCAAGTCAGCAAGCCTGACCCTCCGATCCCGTCAGTCGCCTCTTGCGACAAGCATGGGTTACTGAAGACCGTGAATTTAAACACCGGTAGATAACTTTGAAGGAGTAGTTTGTTCACTTTACACTTGGTGGTCAACTTACTGACTCTCAAAGAGCTGTCGTAGAAGATTGGTTTGGGTACACTCCCTGGAGCAATACTGTGGAACTTGAACTGAGCCTTGTATTCAAGTTCTCCCCTCTCTTCGTGGAGCGGGAAATCTTTCCCCAAACACTGCAAAAGTGGAAAGCGATCTAAGGAGAATACTTTCAACAACGTCATTTCTAACCAATCACACGAAAGTCAGATCTCAGTTCTCGTTACCGCTGAACACAGATCCAAGGCCATCCAATCAAAGGTCACGTAGAACATCCTTCCGACCAATCAGAGCGTCGCTTACTAGATCCGGAAAGTGTATGTCCGAATATGTTTTCTAGCCATGGACCCTCGAAAAGGTTAACACGGGGTATTCCAAACAACAAGTAGGCAGTACGGTTGATTCCATCGATATAATCGTATCTCCCCCCCATGATAGGATAAACCGTTAACACGAAAACTCACAGTAGCTCTTGAGGGGTACAGTCATACAATCTCCGCCATCTGTATTCCGGGGTTTTCTGTTGTTCACTATGTTTTTAAATTGTGGATAGAGACCTACGTCAAATACTTAGCGCGGCATGACGTTACGTATAGATTATCCTTGATCTGATGCCCGATTTGAGTGATACGAGATGAGATGAGAAAATATACCTTTTTTGTCCAGGTAAGCGAAACTGATTTAGATAAAATAGCCGTTGTAGATGGTGATTATACACATCAGATGGAATCTGCATACTCCATGACAATGTCGTTCAGCATGCCTGAGATGATAACCTCGGATACATTGGTTGGTTTGTGGTTTAACGCCGCACTCAGCAATATTCCAGCTATATAGCGGCGGTCTGTAAATAATCGAGTCTGGACCAGACAATGCAGTGATGAACAGCATAAGCATCGATCTAAGCAACTGGGATACTATGACATGTATCAACTAAGTCAGCGAGCCTGACCACCCGATCCCGTTAGTCGCCTGTTTAGACAAGCATTACTTAAGCAATACTGAAGATCAATTCTAACCCGGATCTTCACTGGTACACTCTCCATGACAATGTCATGCAGCATGCTTACGATGCTAACCTCAGATACAACGGCAAATGCATGGTAACTCACTTTGATATATGGCGGCGCGTGTTTCACTACAACGCTGTTACTCGGATCCTCACTCGGGAAAGCTCGGAACACATCGTTCAGGTTTCCGTCACCGACCTCCGATACCTTCACACTGGATATACATTCTGCCCACTGTAATGTAGACGTGGTCATTGTTTTCATATTTACATGGTAGTGCAACAAACATTCATAATGTTCAATACAACGGATCCGTATGAACCGTACTCGACTATCCAGCGTTATGTATGATGCATGGAACTGACCCATTCACCGACATGGCTTCGTATTGAGCCCTGTTTGAATTGCACGACGTCGACACTACAAATGACCTTCCAGTGAATGTTTCTCTCATTGATGAGCAAAAGAAATTCTGCTAAGTATAGGTACAGTGGTGGTAATGACGTCACTTCCGCAGCGTAACTATGGTGGCAAATGGATCCAGTGTATTTAGAAGATATTTCCCTGGATAATGGAGGATGATCAAAGTTGTGCGAGGATACAGAAAAACTACGACAGTGTTCACTTTTATAGTGAGTGAGTTCACTTTTTTTACATATTTCAACATGGTTACTGCCAGTATGTGGAGTAATTCCTCATAAAAATTTCGTGACACGTGGAGGGCACTGGGGTATTACTTTCGTTAAAGCGCTCGCTTATAAAGACGTTGGACCGGGGTCGATTCCCCACATAGGAACAATGTTTGAAGCCTATTTCTGGTTTCCCCTTCCATGCTGGGATGGTGATAAAACAGCGTAAAATTATTTCACTCACTTACTGACCAGTAGTGATAAGTCGCATAGTATTTAAGAAATACACTTCACTCTACCACCATGTATAGTGTATTCTAAGATGCCTAGCTGTTAGAACAATCGAAAAAAAAAATACATTATGAGACAATAAAGGTATAGTTTTTTGATGACGTAACAATTGAATGACGTTAACCCGTCACTGCGCCATTCTAGTGTGCCCCCCTCGTAATCGAATTATTTTACATTACGTCACAATGTAAGTGACGTCACGGTGCATGTCAGTTGTCATCGCCTCGTACGGCCTCCTACAGTAAACTACTCCGTTGCATCCGGTTTCTTGGTTTGCAGTTGCTTCACGCAGCTAACATCACTGGTGGAAACATTACGTTTATGTTTTACGGCGGTTAAAATGTGTCAATTCGACTCACAAGTTTTCGGCGACACGGTAACGTTCGCAATGTTTACATTCCCACAATGCAATCGTGGAATGTCGCTTGACTACTCCGCTTCATCTGGATGTACTGATCTAAACTTACGTTGGTAGAAGAAATGCGACGTTGATATTGCCCCATATGGTTTACTTTAATGACAGATGTAATTAAAATAATTCAGAGAAGATATTTAATCCGAACGTAAACCGTCATCAAACTGTTATCATTTGTTTTTTTCTGGTAACGTTCGTCTTAACGTAGGGGGGCAGACACATCAATAGAACAGCGCACCAGTTAGCCCTGTGCGAGGATTCTTAATTTAGGTCACCGACACCGTCATTTGTTTTCTGCCTTAAATTAATCGTAATTATCCTTAGAAAGTATTAAATTTAGCATCTTAGAAAAGATGTGCTTTGATGTTATAATAGTTCAGGGCAAAACTATACTTTATTACAAAACACATTGGGGTAGAGCGAACTTTATTTCTTAAATAAAACACACTTTTGCCCTGAACCATTATAGTTAAAGCACGAGGACGCTTGATGCCAAATTTAATACTTTCTAAAGATAATTACGATCAATTTAAGGCAGAAAACAAACGACGGTGTCGGTGACCTAAATTAAGAATCCTCGCACAGGGCTTACTGGCGCGCTGTTCTATTGATGTGTCTGCCCCCTACGTTAAGACGAACGTTACCAGAAAAAAACAATGATAACAGTTTCATGACGGTTTACGTTCGGATTAAATATCTTCTCTGAATTATTTTAATTACATCTGTCATTAACGTAAACCATATGGGGCAATATGAACGTTGCATTTCTACTACCAGCGTAAGTTTAGATCAGTACATCAAGAGGAAGTTGAGTAGTCAAGCGACATTCCACAATTGCATTGTGGGAATGTAAACATTACGAACGTTACCGTGTCGCTGAAAACTTGTGAGTCGAAATGACACATTTTAACCGTCGTAAAACATAAACGTAATGTTTCCACCAGTGATGTTAGCTGCGTGGAGCAACAGCAAACCAAGAAACTGGATGCAACGGTGTAGTTTACTGTAGGAGGCCGTACGAGGCGATGACAACTGACATGCATCGTGACGTCGCTTACATTGTGACGTAATGTAAAATAATTCGATTACGAGGGGGGCACACTAGAATGGCGCGGTGACGGGATAACGTCATTCAATTGTTACGTCATCAAAAAACTGTACCTTTATTGTCTGATAATGTATTTTTTTTTCGATTGTTCTAACCGCTAGGCATCTTAGAACCTATGTTATGTACTGACCATCACGCCCTGTTTGTGTGATCTGTGAAGGTTATACAACAACCCGAGGGTGTCTTATCAGGACACGTCACTGGCAAGCATGACGAGAGCCATTGGCCGAGTAAATAATACGGGGGCAATCTGACTGCCCATCCGTAATGTTTGTAATATTAAAAACAAACAAATAAACAAACAAAAAACACACACGAAAAACAGAAGGGGTTTTGAAAGACAAGTTGGGCAGTTTGTACATAATCTGAAATCTTTGTTTACTCAGAGACCATATACCGATATATGGTCTCTGGTTTACTTTAAATGAAATATAGTACACATTTTTACAGTTTTAGTACACTAGGTTTGTAAAAGAACATAAGCTTGTTCTACCACTTGCAGATGTAGACAGGGAGATATCTCTAGCGGGCGGCCGATAGGGATATGGTGACGGTTAGAAATAGCTGATAATAAGGAATGATCGTGCATGTTTACCACCGCTGTCGACTAACAGACCCGTCTGAAAGAGGTAACTGTTATAGTGACCTACTTGCAGCTCGGCCAGGTGAGAGTGTTTCTTCAGGGCTTTTAAAACCTTGCCCTGTGTGTCCGTTTGCGACACCTCCTCGTCAGCCATTGTCACACCACACACCACTGTGCAGGTACAGCACCGTATATTATTTCTCACTGGTCTCACTTTACCCGGGGTCAGGGGTTAAATGTTGAGCAAGGTCACGACATGGTGCTCACTGCTCTTGTCTGTAGACCAAAGGTAAGTCGATATTTGAAAGTCGCAGCTGAATATTAATGTGGTAATGCGATACAGAGGTCTCTGTTAATGTACTTATTAACACGTGCCTTCTAATAATTATCCACTAATGTACATCCGGTGAGAGGATCGCCATGTCGCAACACAGCTGACTGGACGCCTGTCTACTAGAGATCTGGTTATTAGCGAATATGTAGCCGCGCACAACGGCAGTAATAACCACTATAAACGATAAGAGGAGAGTTCGCAGAAGTATAGAGTTATGTCCCTTAGCTAAATCACCCCACTATGATAGGTAATACATTGTCATATTATAACAGTTTTAGCTAAAACCAAACGGTTTAATAGTGGTAATAGCCACATTGGTGAATAATACTAATGACCCATCAACATATGTAGAAGCCTATTTCCTTTATTTTGCCGAGCCTACTTTATCTCTCGAGTAGGCATCTATTTATAATCGAGCGGAAGGTCGCAGGTTCGATCCCCGACCGCGTCATACCAAAAGACGTTTAAATATGGTAGTTGTTGGTCCCTGCCTGGCGCTCGGCATTAATGGGTACAACAAGGACTGGTCGGCTCGGAGTCTGAGTGGGGTATTCATAGGGTATTCATGCTTCACTGCGGCATGGTATCTCAGTGGGCTGGCACTATAAAGCCAGTTTAAGTCTGGGCTAGTACAAGCAGCCGCACATACACATACACACGCATGCACGTCGTCATATGAACGAAATATTCTCAAGCACGACGTAAAACCCAATTTCACCTCACCTCACCTATTTATAATCCATTTTAACATTTATATCCGCTGATCGTAGATTACCCGATATCCCCACTGATACCAAATATCGTTATTCTGTAAATTCATGCACTATAGATTAAGAAACAATCGCGTTATTATAAAGAAACAATACAAAACGTTACCGGGCAACAGTCCGTACATGAACACGATGTGAAACAATGAACAACAAAGCAATGTGATATAATTAACAATTGTATTCTAAAATTTAAGTTTACAAATTAAAACAAATCACAGCAAGAGTTTTACAGTGGCAGTGCAAAATAGAGTGGCAGTACAAACTGAAAGGCAGTATAAAACATAAGCAGTGATCATAGCAATAGGGATGGCAATAGTCACCTCTCTGCAGCAATGGTCAGTATCCAAGGTAATAATAATCTGGACCCGTTCCCGAAAGCGATCGTAGCGCTACGACTGTCGTAATTCTATGTTAAAGTATGGGAGTTACGATCATCTTAGCGCTTCGATCGCTTTGAGGCACGCGGCCCTGGTCCTTGTTCAACTTCAGATGTAATGTGAGATGAGAGGCAAGAATTAGCTCCCCTTACATGTGTTAGAAAATGGCCCCAGACAAACGAACAAATGATAGCTGGCATAAATGTTCTTGCCAAAAGCTGTATCCGTTGATTGACTCATCTGTGTAGATCCCGGGGCGACTAAATGGCGCTTGTGATGAGGTTCGATGATTCAGTGTCATCGAAACCTTTTACCGTGGAAGTTGCTTATAAGTCATTGATTGTCTCGTCGACTTACAAGGCAGCATGCACCCTAAACAAACGTCGCTATGATTATACTATATACACAAAGTATTGTCACACACTAACAAAATCAGTGCTAAATATTATCATGTAGAGTGACAAATATTTCAAGGCATGGTAACGATCAGCAGCCCATAAGAACAACGCACCCGACATATGCAAATGCGCCACAATACAAGAGAGGGTGGTCAGTGAGTGTGTCTACCTTGTGCATTGATGAACATACAAACAATATAATATTACCTCATGTGTAAATAACTAAACAATGTACAATTATATTATTTACTTCACGTGTAAACATATACAGTGTATAAGTTACTTCGGACTATTTCCTGATGTAAATATATATATTCACGTATTCAAGGATATATTACTGATATTTCTCGCCGATCGTGTGTATTTTTGATAGATACCACGAGAAGAGTAAATGAAATGCAGTGGGTTGTTTTTTATTTAATTCCGATCGATCCTACCCTTAGTTCGTACGGCATCGATCATATGAAGCGACATTGAAAACGGCCATCGAGTCCTGGACATTCGGGATTCATGAAGCCAGTTCTAGAGCAACGTCCAACAGTGTCTGAATGCTGTGTATCCGTCGATGTTCCTTCAGAAGCCGCACCCCTGCTTCCAGGACGAAAACCTCAGCATGTCCTACACAGTCAGGCAAGGTGTCATGTCGTTCAACATCATGTTAAAACTTCTCGTACTGAGAAAGCTGTCGTAGCGCTACGACTGTTGTAACGCAGAGACGTACGATAGCGCTACGACCGTTACGTTAGACGGGACCCTGTCCTCGTTTTATCCCCTTCATGCCGAGCGTCAGATAGGAGGTGACAAAAAAGTACAATGCCATCGACGGTCCGTTCCCTGATGCTATATCCACCAAGGCCCCGTTTCACAAAGCTACCGTAGCGCTACGTACGCTTGTCGTAAGTCTATGTTACAGGAGGTACGGCGCTACGGTAGTTTTTTTAAACAGGGCCCTGGTCACGCACCCTGACCAACATCAGACAACTTGATCTTTGTCACCTGCTCTAACTCTCAACATGGGTAAGGTGGGGATAAACCAGGCTTCAAACTCTGGGAATATTCCGGATTCGATCCAAATGATGGACTGATCAGCAACGATAGTGACCAGACTTCGCATTGCGAAAGCGATCTTAGAGCGATGCCAATCCATACTTTGTTTTAGACTTACGATAATCTTAGCGCTTAGATCACCAAATAATTCCAGCACCCCGTGCTCTTTTCTGATATATACACATTGTACTATTTATACAGACGTAACTTGCTTTCACTCATATTTATGAAAAAGTTCCATCAGGGAATCCCACACCTGTTCTCTTACAAATTCGGATAATCCTGTCAGCAAACACCCGGTGTCTTGGATCGTCATCTGTAGTGAAGGAGTGACTGCAGTAAACTAAGAGGTAGTTACGGACAAGAAAGCCGACATCGAAAGAACACGGCCCCATGAACGCACACTCACAGTCGATCATCTGAAGTAAAGAACAGGTAAGATACACAGATATCACCCAGGACCAGATACTATTAAGGGCTGTCCACTGAGCGAAGCTAGGTGTCATATACTATCTAGAGTGTTGGTTGTCGGATCTTCAAAATCAGGTTGTCACCCTCTCTGGCTTCCTTGTCTGCATGTCAACGTTCCCTGATCGTTGTTCATGCTCTCAGTCACTGATTGGATATTTACGTGTCGCCATGTCAATGCTGGAATACTTGTGCACTAAAAAACCACTAGGATATAAACATATTGTGTTGGAAAATCAGAGGTATAGAACGCAATTTTAATAGCTCTAAATTTGATTTAAAACGGATTCTACCATAACCGCGTTATTAAGATTTAAAAAAAATACACCCTGTGTTTGAAAATCAGAGGTATATAATGTGATTATATACCTCTGAATGACTTTGATTAACCAATCACAATCCAGTATTTACTGAAGTCATGGTAGAATTATGCTTAATTAATTGATTTGTTTCTTTAGGAAATGCACACACAAACTGACTGACTGACTGACTGACTGAGTTTGGTTTTACGCCGCTTTTAGCAATATTCCAGCAACATCACGGCGGGGGACACCAGAAATGGGCTTCACACATTGTACCCATGTGAGGATTCGAACCCGGGTCTTCGGCGCGACGAGCCAACGCTTTAACCACTAGGCTACCCCACCGTCCCTCACACAAACGGATGTATGACAACACCTTGACTAAGATGCCGTTGTCGCTGTTATATCAACACTTTTTTTATGCAAGAAGCCATTAACTTGACTCACTCACTCACACATAAAATTCCAGGAGTGTGAAAGAGTGAAGAGGAACAATTCTTTTTGGACAGACAATTTTTTCCTTGCAATAGATGCGACGGTTTCGGAGTAGATGCTAAGACCGTCATCAAGCAAGTGATACCGGTATTAACATCCACACCGAAATGTCGATATTGCGATAAAAAAGTTGTCTGTCCATACAAAAGTGTTTTTCTTCATCATACCAGCTTCTAAATGCCACTCAAAGAAGTGTGAGGGAGTGTGTTTTGTTCTTGGAATATTGAGACAACTACATCAAATCTGGAGGAATCCTTGATATCCATTAAACATGAAACTTCAGCAGTTATACCTGTAATCAAAGCTTAAGTCTTGCAAGACATCATATTGTCCTTATAGTCTGAACAGCATCATTTTGAAAGTACCTTTATGTCTTTGTCTTTAACCATGATGGAGTTGTTGTGCAGGTCGCCGTGTATAAAAGCCTCCTTTTTGTGGAGAAATATGTTCTTCATGCGACTAACAGCGTCAAGAACCTTTTGGTCTCCGTAAACACAGTCAAGTTTGTCCTTCACGGTCTCCGACCACTTGTTCCTGGGGTCAGTCCTCACGAAGGGCTGCGTGTAGTGTATTCTTTGAATTACGTCCATCATCTCATGGTTCCTGGCAATCAATATTGGTATACTTAGGTCAGCTTCAAAGATAAAGGGGTATGGGGTAGCCCAGTAGTTAAGGCGTTCGGTCGTAGTGCCGAAGACCCGAGTTCGATTCCCAACATGGGCAAAATGTGTGAAACCCATTCTGGTGTACCCCGCCGTGATATTGCTGGGATTGCAAGAGCGGCGTAAAACCTTATTCACTCACTCCTCAAATGAGAATCACAGTGTAAATATGAGACGATGATCTAACTACTTTAAGTGGTATCATCATAAATTACTTGATACAGAACCAACTGAAACTCCTTATCCAGCTGCTTAATGGCGTCCTCCCCTATCTTGGCGACGTGGGTGTCTCTGTGTATGGTGGCCACGTCTCTCGCCAGTTTGAGGGCAGCGTCGTCGTCGAGATGGCCGCTGATGAGGGAGTCGAGGTAGACAGCATAGTCGCGAAGGTGCTCTATGCATACTGGCACGGGAATAAATAATATGATACATAAACATTTAAAAAAAATATCTGTGGCGGTTTTACACCTATCCCTGCCGTATGAGAAGAAATATATTTCAAACAGGTAACAAATGTATGGATCCAAATACCCAATAAACGTCA